AGGAGGACATCCTGCACCACTGTCACGCGGATTTCCAAGGCGCTCATCAGGGGATCATTCGGACCTATGAGAGGCTGCTCGCGGAGTTCTACTGGATCGGCATGTTCAAGGACACTGAGCGATATGTCAAGGAATGCGTTGACTGCGTCACGGCCAAGGGCCTACCCCGGAACCCGGGACCGTCGCCTGGTAACGTGTTGGCTACGCGACCGTTTCAGGTCGTCTCCATGGACTTCGTGATATCGCTACCCCGGTCCACCCGGGGAAATACGGCATTGCTCCTGTTTCAGTGCGCGTTCTCGGGGTTCATCATGTGCAAGGCCATGGCGAGCACCGAAGCCCAAGACGTGTCCGAAGCCTATGAAGAGTCCGTGTTCCGGAGGTTCGGGGCCAGTGAGATGATCCGTCACGACCGAGACCCGCGGTTCATGGGTCGGGTGTTCAAGCACTTTCGGGAGATGCTCGGGAGCAGGCAACGCGCCACTCTAGCCTATCGTCCCCAGGCCAACGGACAACAGGAGAGGTATGTGCAAACAGTGATCCGGAGCGTTTAGGCATATGTGCAGACTGTGGACCAAAGCGACTGGGACAAGCTGGCCGAAAAGCTCATGTGGGCTCTGAACACCTCCTTCGACTTCACTCGACTCGACACGCCGTTTTACCTGGTGCATGGGTGGGACGCCCAAGGTACCGTCCAAGCCATGATGGGAGACGTTCCGAGATGCCATGATTGGAGACGTTCCGAGACGTGCAGCTCCGGGACGCCCAAGAATGGCGCACCAAGGTACAACGCCAGGTGCAGCTCCGGGACGCCCAAGATTGGCGCACCAAGGTACAACGCCAGGTGGAATACGCGAGGACCTGAGGAATACGCGAGGGCCTGAGCCCGGGACCTCCAAGAAAAGGCCAAGAAGCGCCGGGCCGAGGACCATAACCGCAAGTGGAAGCAGCTTACAGACCGACTGAAAGAGGGTTTCGAGGTCGGGGACTCAGTATGGTTGTACCTAGCTGAGTCCGCCCCGGACTCACCAAGAAGCTCGCACACCTCTGGCACAGCCCGTTCCGGATCCGGGAAAAGGGTAGCGATTTCCGATACCGCCTCCAGGTCGAGGGTACGGAATACCAGTTTTACCCCTGGGTCCACGTTAGCAGGTTGAAGACCCGAGCCAAGTACCCTGAGCGGCCCTCGGGAACCATGGACATCCCCGAGGACGACGACTTCGACGCTGCGTTGCTCCGTGAAGATAGTTGGGAACCTGATGAGGGTTCCGGGGAATACGAGGTCGAAGCGATACTCGACGTGCACTGGGTCATCCGGACTCGCACTAGCCGGCACGTCAAGGAATACCTTGTGAAATGGAAAGGTTACGAGGCTCCAGACTGGGTTCCCCAAGGACTCCTCAACTGCGGGAGACTGCTATATTCGTTTGACCATGGAGGGCGAGCCCGCGTGCGTTTCCAGGCAATGCAGTCTGGAGACGAGCTCCCGGACAAAAAGGTCCGGTAGAGCCCTGGGGCGTGGACCCGGAACCTACTTTAGTAGTAGGCTCTGGAGTGTCCCCAGAAGCCTCAGGTTCCCGGATGAGATCACTCTCTGGGACATGAGTGAAGTGCATGTTTCCTGGGGCGTGGATCCGGGGTCCACTGCCAAAAGTGCGCCCTGGCGTGTCCCCCAGAAGCCTTGTGTCTCAAGACGAGAGTACTCTCTGGGACACAAGTGATTGCATATTTGCATGGCACATACATGTTATCAAAAGAAGGACATGAAGACTTGAAAACGAACAAACAAGGCCAAGACGAAGACAAACTCCGAGATGTATTGAAGAGCTTAAGGCATCAGGGGCCTGGGATAGGACACTTAGTCCCCGAGATGTATTGAAGAGCTTAAGGCCTCAGGGGCCTGGGATAGGACTAACTCTGCAGGCAAGTCATCAGGAAGAGGGATGAAGATGCGGTCGTCAGGGTCGGCGACCACAGTCCCCCAAGTGGCTGGGGACACGCTTTCTGGGAGACGCGAAGTCGAACACGGAAGCCCCCAGTAGACGCGAGCTGGGTCGCGGCGGTCCAATGCCCGAAGCCGATCACGGAGAGGTGGGGTGTGGTCGTCACGTGGCAGTGGGACCCACACGACTGGGAGTCTGGGACGGCGCCAGAGGCCACGATCGCAACGAAATCACTTCCGCTCCCGCGCTGGTAGCTGAGCTATCTTGACCCGCAACTTGGTCAGCTCCTTGTACCAGAGCCTCTACGGTCCAGGTACACTTGTTTCTGCGCTTCGCTAGAACGGTCGAACACCACCCAGTGGCCGCGCTCCCACTGAGCCCGGCGATGCACGAACATGAATAATACATACTCCGAGGCGAGGATCATGAAGCCGGCACTGAAGCCTGAGGGGCACTCTCCTTGCAGGCGAAACAGAACACCTCTTCTCGGTTCCGGAATATCACCCAGGGGGCGTCTTCTCCAGGCCCGGAACCATCCACCAAGTCCAAGTACTCGGCTATGTCCAGGCGACCCTTCGCCTCCGCCGACGAGGTGGGTACGACTTCGTAGTCCGGGAACCCACGTATCTGGTGCTTCCCAGACTGACTCGCCGGATGCACTTGAACTCCTTGACAAACCAAGAGATGGCGTTCGCAGTGTCCGTGTTGCAGAAGTCGGGAGCAGTGTTCCGAGGAAGTGCGAACCTGCGCCGACGCACTGGAGAGTCGAGCTCGCCCGACGAGACGTCCGACGACACTTCAGGGAGCCGAGCCATATGGCGCGCCGCGTCTACGCCGAGGTCTCTTGCCGCGCGGAGAAGTCGTGGGAGCAGAGCCCCCCGAGGCCCTCTTCTTGGAACGACCTTTCTTGGGAGTGCTTGGGACGTCGTCTTCCATGTCAGAGACGTCGTCATCACCGTCCGACGGTTCCGAAGCCTCGTGAGGCTCCGTTGGAACAGGCGGCCAGGGGCGATCCACCCCGACCACCCAATTCGTCTCCTCTGCGCGCTTGTAAGCCCGGTCGAAATACTCCTCGGGGACATGCCTCAGCCAGTCGACGTCGTCCAGACTCCGAAGGCACAAGAGTCTCCGGATGATATCGCAGAGTACGTCGCGACGGATGTTCGCGTGAACCACGATGTCCTCGTCCATGACCCCCAGAACCACATCTTTAACCTCCGTGAGGGTGCACCTGTCCGGGTCCATACGCCAGAGCTCGAGGACGTCGAGGCGTACGTCCGAGAGGTCAGCGTCGGCCGGGAGCAGCTTGCTCAAGTCATCGTCCGAGCGAGGAGGCTCGGCGTCGTCATCCATGGCCCGGTAGAAGAGAGCCTTCGGGTTGGTTTGGGGAGTGTACACCCGGGGTCGAACCTGCCGTTGGCCATCGGCCGACAAACGCAAAGGAGCCTGAGAACCACCTCCAGGCAGAATTTCCACGTCATCATCGCCGTCCCCAGTCCCGGCGTCCTCCTCTTGCGGGTCTTCCACATCGTTGTCCCCGTCACCCATCTCGTAGTCGTCCTGGGCTACGTCCTTCGGTGAACCCTCGGGGACATCACTCTCGTAGTCTGGGAGTTCCGTGAAGCGGATGTGTTTTGGGGTCTTGTGACCCCCGGACAGAGAAGACTTGGCGCTAACGGAGGTCCCCGGACCGATGTCGTCGCCTTTTCCTTGGGGAACGTCAGGACTCAGCACTGAATGGGCTGGCGCTGGAGACGAAGCAGACTTGAGCCCTGAGGACCCCTTCGAAGGGAGACTCACGGTGGGAGACGCGGTGGAGGACGCCGTAGAAGCTCCAGCAGCCGCCGGACCGGGAGGCCCAGAAGATGGTGAAGCCTTCCCTGACCCAGCGACGCTTGAGGCACCGGAGAGACCAGAGCTGGTCCCCGAAATCGTGGACCCCTGGGACGCAGTCCCGGGGGCACCCCCTCACTGCCAATGTTACTTCCACCTGTCGACCCCGAATCGCCTCCAGACGAGGACATGAGTATCGCGACTGAAGCACTGTTCCTCCCCACGAACAGAGAAATCGTGTAGGGGAGCCTGTGGCGACGTTGGAAATACGCCTGCATGTGTTCTTGGAACGCAGCCCCATCTCCATTAACGCCCATCGAGACGAAGTACGCGACCAGAGCTTGGGGATCAGCCAGGCCTCGGAGGCGGTCGCGATCCTGTTGGAGATTCTCATTGGCCACCTGTAACGCCTGTAGCGAGTTCCGCAGGCCGACAACTTCCGCGTCGTGGTCGACCTTGGGAACGGCATCACTGGGGGGAGCCGGAGGTCGCGCAGCCAATTCGGCCTGAGCCTCATCCCGCTAGGCCTGCGCTACGTCCCGCTCGTCCCGAGCCACATCCCGCTCACTTTGCGCCTCCTGGCTCTCCGCGGTCGCCGAATCGAGAGCACTCCGGAGTCTCGCCATCTCTGCGACAGCTTCGCTTAGGGAACGCTCCAAGTCGGCGTGAGCCACCCCCAGTCTCTCCAGACGTTCCTCGGCCTGGGACCAACCCTGGTGCTCGTGGCTCTAGGCGATTCGAGTTCGGGCCACTATGGCTCTGAGGGCCGCAGTCGTAGGCGCCTCTACTTCGCGTAGCGCCACCTCCCACTCCCGATGGCTCTCCGCCAACTGGTCCTGGGACCGATGTAAGGCCATGGTCAGCAATGCGTTCGCGGTAGCGCTCCTTGGGTCCGCGGTCGTAGCGAGGTTCCGGAGAGACTCCAGGGTCACGATGTAATCCAGGGCGAGGCGAAGTGCATTTAACGTGTTTAGCACGCGACGCCCGAAACTTGCTGCCCCGAACGCATCGATCAGCGGACCTACATGAAGCTCCGCAGCCTGGGCGCGCTGTCCTGGGACCACCGCCACTGGATCCCCTTGGATATGTGCTGGGGACAGGATCAGTGCGGTCGTCCCCGACGACCAGTCGCGACAACGTGTCGAGCTGCACAGCCGAGAGTGACGGGATCCGAACCGCTACGTGCACCAGGCCCCCGACGTCGCGCATCTGCAAGCCCTCGGAATTCCCGGAAGCGACAACCCGCACGTCTTCCGCGGACGCAGGAAGGTAGGTGAACGGCGGAGCGAGTGTCACCGGCCCACGGCTGTCGCCAAGTCCACCTCAGCCCCGTCGCCGGTAGGGAGTGAGACCTGGATGGACTGAACTCCGAGACCATCTTCCACTTGAGGCCCAACATACTGTC